GGCTGGCAAGGCAGCCATTTGTGGAACATCTGGTCTGGCGGTATCTAACCTGCACCGTTGACAGGATTTGCGCACGTTCTTGTAGAGGACTCGCTATCGTGGAATATAGAAGGTGCCTCGGATTCGGTTTATACACGCCTCGTGGGATGTGTGGTGCATTTCATTGTGATGCCAAACCACTATAAGGCGTGTTATAGGGTGTGCGTGGGGCAGTACGATTTGTTGTTGGCTGTATCAGGAGAAGCTTGTGGTGATCTAGAAAAATGTTCAAACTTATTAGTTTGGATTTGCGGTGAATACATTTACCTCGATCCAAGCATTGGATCTCCGACGGAAACTCAGAACCCTGTGCGGCAAGATACGCTTCTCGGCAGTGGTTCCTTGCGCACCTTTGCTCGTAGTCGCTCCATGTAAAGTAAAAAGACGGCTAGAGTACGATACAATCTACGCCAGTCTGAGAAGTACTCTTCGTTTAGGAGGGGTCGAAGCGAATGGCGAGCAGTCCTTTGCGTACTTCCTCTCACGTTGTGCCGAGTTCGCAGGGGTTTGGCCACTGAGATGGCTGAAGCATCAGAAACTCCGGGCCGTTGAGCCATGTGTTGGCGTTCTTAAGCCTGGTGGTTTTCGTTGCGAGATCCGCGGGGTTAACGTGGGTACGTACCCACCGCCATTGGTTCACGTTGGTATGTTCCAGAACTTCGCCAACTCTATGCATAACGTACTGCTGAAATTTCCATACGCAGCCAGCTTAGGACGGTTTTGGAGAGGGGCTACTTTTGCCTTCGATGCCGAAAAACTTAGGTAAGTTGACTCGCCCTGGCATATGCGTAGATAGCAGACCGCTGCGTAAGCCATTTCGCTGGCGTCGACAAATGTATGCAACTGCACATCGCTTATGTGGTCATCTGAATGGAAGTAGCATCTTGGAATTTGTACCGCTGCAATAATCGGCAACGAGCGTTTCCATTGTGCCCATTTGGGTACTAGCTCGAATGGTAGGCGTTCATCCCAGTTGATCGAGCTTCGCCATACTTCTTGTAGCAAGATTTTTAGCGCGATTGTGTAGCACGAAATAAATCCCAATGGGTCGTAGATTGACATTAGTACCTGTAGTAACTCGCGCTTGGTTGGTGGCACGTCTTCTCCCAGAACATTGCGTTTCAGCCGAGCAAATTTCAAGTTAAAAACGAACTTATCAGGCTTGGGCATCCAGTACAGACCAAGCACCTTTTCTGTGGCTGCAATTTCCACCTGCAGCGGAGAGTTTGTAGTGGCGTCCAGCTGGCGGAGGACTTCTTCCGAGTTTGATGACCAGTTGCGAATGTTAAAGCCGCCCGCCGAGTGGATTTGTTTCACTTGGGTGGAGATTGTGGTGACGGCTTCAACGCTGACGTCGCTGTGTAGGAAATCGTCCACGTAGTGATACTCCTTAATGGCATTCGCGGCCGTTGGGTAGATGTTTTGGAAGCGCTCTGCATTGGCGTCGCGGATATAGTGCGCGATAAATGGGGCGCAATTAATTCCGAATGTAAGGGCGCTCATAGAGTATACAGAAGGTTGTCCAGCTCTCTCGCCGTTCTCCCACCACAGGAACCTTTGTGCATGTGCATCCGTGGGTCGGACTCTTATCTGAAAGAACATCTCTGCTTTATCGCCGCAGTGGGGACCTGGCCGACCCTGAACGAAACTAGTAGGTCGAAGAGTGGTTGCAGCAGGTCAGGTCCTCGGAGCAAATAGTCGTTAAGGCATTTCCCGTTGGATTTGGCGGCGACATCCCAAACTAGGCGAACTCTTCCCGGCTTGTTAGGGTTGATAGTTATGAAGGTGGGCAGATACCACGCCCGCTCGTTTTGATCGGCGATCTCTTTGGAAGTTAACTTGCGCGCGTAACCCTTATTGATAAGATTGTCCACTTCTATTTGAGTTTGCTCTCTCAGCTCGCTTTGTTTGAGGAACTTGCGCTGCAGGCACTTAAGCCTGTTAAGTGCGTTCGGGTAACTCTCGGGTAGTGGTGTGTCGGCATCCTTCCAGGGCAGACCGACTTCATATCGTCCATCGTTGAAAACGGCAGTTGATTGTAGGTGGCTCAAGGCTTAACTATCTTATGCTGACAGCAATTTGTGTTGCGTTGCTGTTTCCATGCCAAATGTTTGCTTTATGGCTTCGTGTAAATCAGCATCAAGTTGGCTGCAGCTACAAACGTGCACATTGACCCGCTCTGTTGCTGGTCTGCTTGTGTTGCAGCTTCGTAGTGTCCATCCTAGCCTTGTTTTCGACGCTATGGGCTGATTCCATGCTCCTTCCCGTATCTTGAGGGGCCAAGCCAAATGCCAATTGTTGGCCCCGATGAGAACGGTGGGGCGAGCATTTTGATATGATTCGATTGGGAGTCCTCTTAGATAACGGAACCTTTGGGCGAGCTCGGTCTACGCTGTGTACATCCCTCAGCTTGAACTTAGATCCGGTGCGAGCGTTGGACATGTTGAGTGAGGCTCGTTCGGATGCGTGGTCGGTGTGCGTAGTATTGTTCGTCCACCCTAGGCAAAGGGATTGCCTGACGCCCTTCACGTTCAGTTGCTCGAAGACCTTTCTGTCGATAAGTGTGACGGAGTAGCCCTCATCTAGAAATGCAAAGGTATGTAGTGATTGTTGATTGTAATGAATATTAATTGGAACAGTGCGGAAATTTGTTTTTTCCATGCGCCGATGAGTGTGGAGCAGTCCGTTATGGTGGTGAGGGACTTCGTCGCTGATTTCGGACGTTACAGCTGGCCGCAACGCGTCTGGTTGTAGCCCTCTATGAATCAACGGATGGTGGCTTTGACTGTAGCCGTTGATGCCGCACACTTTTCTCAGGAAGCACTGTCGACGATGCCGGTTTAGGCAATTATGGCATAGTTTATTGACGCGTACAACGCGTAGCCTTTCCTCCAGGGCCATAGACTCGAACTCCGGGCAGTTATGAAGTTTGTGGTCCGCGCTTTGGCAAGCTATGCACTTGGCTCTGCTATTTTCGTGATCCGTTTCCTCCGTATGGTAGTGCAGAGTGGCGTTCCTCGTGTTGTAGAACGGCGTCGTAACCTTGCTGGCTGCCTCGGCAATTTCGTATAGCCATTCACTAAAGATCCGTACTGATGATGAGTCTCCGTTCCTGGCATTCATTGCCCACTGCAGCTTGAGTTGGGAGGGTAGCTTGTCCACGAGCTCTTGCACGAGCATTGGGTTGCTCATGTGGTCCTTAAGTTCGCACGCTTCCATCGTTGAGTAAGCGTTACGTACGCCTAGAGCGTATTCAATGAGGGGCTCTAGCTTGTCCCTGCAAGGCGGGAGTTGTTTGACCTTGTTGAGCACCGAGCGGAGAATAAGTTCGGGTCGCCCAAAGCACATTTGCCGAGTTTTTATGATTTCTGGCACCATTGCCGGTAGCATTAACTTGCTCTGGACTACATTTCTGGCTTGGCCCTTGAGGCTTGCTTGTAGGCGCATAAGATTTTCCGCTTGAGTGTAGCTTGCGATCTCGGTACTGGTTTGGTAGTTACTGAAGAACAGTGGCCAGCTTTCGGGGTTGCCGTCGAGGGTGGGCAACTGTCTAGGGATCGCTTGGCGGGCGGCGATTTGTGCTGCGCTTGGTGCGTTCTGCGCGGGCGGGGTTATATAAGCTTCAGGGAGTGTGGCACACTTGCCTGTGCCCTGCCCGTCCCACATGGTCGGTGTGTTTGTCGCCTCGTACGTCCGCGCGATTGAGGTTAGGTTTGCAGACGGTTTTCGATTCGCACTCACTACACATGTTGAGGTTATACACATATGTGGTGGCGGCCCCGCGTGGTGCAAGTAGTGTGTGGGGCCGCTGTGTGGTGTTAAAGCCGTGTCGTTAATTGTAGGCCATTTCTTACATGTCGTGGGAGTCCACTTGCCAGGGTGGGAACCATTCCCTGGGCTGTGCTCACTGTTGAGGTTATGTAACCCAGGCCAACGAGTGAGTTTTCTGCCGCCGGTGACGAGGACGCTTGGGGTTTACCCTCTTGCAGTGGGTTCTCATGATCGAGGAGGAGGTCTGCTGTAGCTCTGGCAGCTCTTGTATCATGCAGCTTGTTACTGCACTCGCAGCTCCAGCTCACGCCGGTGCCAGCGTTGTTGGCGCCGACGCACGCAAAATGATACCATGAGCAGCAGCGGCAGCATTGTAATATTCGGTCCTCATCCTCCAGTTTACATTTTCTGCAGTAAAACGATCCGCTCGGCGTTTCGATATCTGGCATTTTTACGTGGTGGTTATCTCACTTGGATGTATACATTATGTCGCCAAAGATTTTTCACATATAAGTGTTCCTTGGCTAGTTGAGACGTTTTAAAGAATGTTGAATACGCTTTTAACAGCGCCCAAAAGAATAGACGAAGTTAATGTTCATTGATTCACTTTATTTTTACTATTTGGTGCGCTTTAAAACGTCGTCTCCGAATATCAGCAGCAAACTGTCGCTCGCTTTGCATGGCTGTACTTCGCGGCCTCGCATACACCAAAGCTCTGCAAGTAACGGTTCTGTTATGCAGCTAATTTGGAGATGGAATACCCTTTAATCGGGCTTATTGGTTTTAGGCAAGATTTCGGCGGAAACATATTCAATTTTAAAAATTTCAATATTTCGGAAAAAAAAATGCAGTTTTATTGTGTTTATCAATACCTACCGAAATGTAGAAGAAATTTTTTAAATCGGACCATTCGTTAAAAAGTTACGGCGGATCAAAGTTTTTATCTCCATCTCCCTCGCACTCCCTTTAGCTGAGTAACGGGTATCTGATAGTCGGGGCACCCGACTATAGCGTTCTCTCTTGTTTTACCATGGTTTTAAGAAATCATGATTCACATACGTAATTAATGCCAATGGCCCCTTTCTATAAATAAACATTTCCCTGACAACCCTGACAATGATTAGCCTCTAAAAAAAGTATTTTGGTAACAGGTATTACTAAAATATTAAAATATGCTCTTTTATCTTCAGGTATCGCAATGATGATCTAGTAAATGTAAATGATACGAATCATTATAAAGGCGGTAATTCAGAGAATGTAGCTCTCGTTATTAAATCTACGGCAAAAGATGACATTGGAAATTATTCTTGTCAATTGTCAAATACTATTGGCAAAGGAATTTCTGATCAGAAAATTAATCTTGACGTGCAGTGTAAGATATTTTAACATTTGGATACAAACTTTAATTCACTTATATTTTTACTATAGATGTCCCAAGTGTCGAGATTTTAATGATACCAGAGGGTCCTGTAAGGGAAAGTGATGAATCGAATGTCACCCTCTTCTGCAATGTCTTAGATGCTAATCCCCTAGCACTTACCAAAGTAAGGTGGTACGCCAACTCTACGCTTCTTAAGGAACTTCCAGACTGTGAAGAAACAAGGGTATGTAATTTTGTTACTCAGAAAATATAAAAATTAAATGAAGAAAACTTGATTTTGACCCTCTATCTTTAAAAATGTTGTGGGCAGATTCCGTTTTTTAAACTAGCGCCAACTATTGGGCAAAACTTTGATTGCTCCTATCTTTTTGACAAATGGTCCGATTTGAAAAATTTTGGGGTGTTAGATGGATGTTAGAGTCCTGCACAGAGCCCTAAACTGGCTAATTTCGTTAAAACTCAAACCCAACCGAGCTACTTACTTGAAACCCATTTGGATTAAGTCGTTTGGGTTTGGGTAAATGAGTCAATTTTTACCCAAACCCAAATAACCCGAAACAAAAACAGGTCAAGTAGTTCAAGTCAAACAAATTTACAGGTGGGTTCGGGTTGGGCGTACGTTTCGAATACAACAATTAAGTAATTAGTTGTTGTTATTCACGTCTGAAAAATGGGGAAACAGATTATTTCCAAACATACAACGAATATAGCTTTCACACACTTTAGAGGTTTAGCGACGAAGCTTTGACGTAAGTCACACCTATTAGTATGTAATGCTTAATTACATATTCCTAGATGTGGTATAAATAGAAGTTTCGACGCTCAACTCACATCCTCTTCTCTGGCTGATGAGGTAGCGTTGACGACCTAACGATATTTGCAAATCCCAGAAAGTCCGAGGTTCACTCCTCACCAAGAGCACTGCGTTGAAATGCTAGACTGTTGAATGATAAACTCAACTTCTAAAAATGACTTAGAGTCCGCTAACGCACTCACTATTATATTAATACTTAAGAACAGGAGGATGTTTAAATTGGTTGGACCGATCTTTTCTTAGCTAAGGCACTATTTTTTATACTTGGATCATACATAACTTAACTAAAGAAACCTAAAGATATATTTTACATCGACTTTTCAAAAACCGCGAATTCTTAAGAACAAAAGGATATGTTTTGGGGATCATACATCTGTTTCTTATCTTAATTAAATATATATATGTAACTTCTGCTCTGTGGAAGTAATATGTCGTCAAAGAAACCAATTAATTACACTAGTTTACAGCCGAAATGCTCCCCAGCAATCGATGGCAAATTATGTTAGTTTTGGACCCCTAGATCACGAAAATAGCACTAATTTTATTTTCGATGGCACAGTTTTTTTTTAAGATTTTTTAAAGTTTGAAATGTTAAATTTCGGACTTTTTTTCGAATTTCTTTTTATATCTTGGCAGATATCCCCCCGATTGGGCCAGTTTTAGTTTTATTTTAAAGTCAATAGATCAGAGCTCAACTTTGCCATACAGATCAATATGATTGGATAACTAATGGCAGCGCAAAAACTTGACAAAGATAAAAAATGTGTTTTTTGGTCGACTGTAAGTCGGCTGTATATATCGTAAAAACTCGAAATAAATCCGTTGAAAAATCGTAATGGTTACAAACTTAAAGTTTACATCCTACCGAATAAAACAAGCCGGATATGGCCCAAATCCATGGAAAACTGGATTTATGGTGGATTTTTAAAGTTCGGATTTTTCCACTTTTTTCGGTTGACAGAGTCCAAATTTAAGATTTATCTAGGAGGCGACATGTAAACAAAAATGAGTGGTGACGGCAGCCGGGTCAAAAAATAGCTATCTCCATCTTCCCCACACTCCCTTTAGCTGAGTAACTCGACTATAGCGTTCTCTCTAGTTTTTAATTAAAGTATGTACTAAAATACTTGTATAATCCTAATAAAATTTTTAAATATTTTTTTGGACTCGCTTCAGAGGTGTCTTTTTGCAATAAAATTTGAAAACTTGGTATTTTTCCTTTGTCAAAACACTTTCTTGACATATTGTATTTAAATTTCTTTTACATTTACTCAACAAGTAACGGGTATTAAAAAATAATTAATAATTAAATTAATTAAAAATAATTAAAAATCTTCTAAGCCACTGAGACAAGCCGAAATTTGCATACCCTTGTTACTCGTAGATTAAAAGGTATATTTTATTCCTACAAAAGTATGTAACAGGAAGAAGGAAGCGTTTCCGACCCCATAACGTTTATATATTCTTGATCAGGGGCAATAGGCAAATCGATATAGCCATGTCCCTCTGTCCGTCTGTCTGTCCGTACGTATGAACGCTGAGATCTCGGAAACTACAAAAGCTAGAAGGTTAAGATTTCCTACATAAGTTTTTGGGCTTCCTCCGAAGGACAAGTCGGGCTCAACACCCGCTTTAAAGCCCACAATCGCCCACTAACGATTTTAAAATGTGTCCTGCGCCCACATCTTTAAAGATTTCCGAGAAGTATAAATGCAATTTTTTTTGTGTATATTTATACCTATCGAAATGTAGAAGACATTTTTCAAATCGGACCATTCATTAAAAAGTTATACGCAATCAAAATATCTATATATATCTATCTCCCTCGCACTCTCTTTAGCTGAGCTACGATTATAGTCGGGACACCAACCCGAGTACAGTGTTCGCTTTAGCTGAGTGATGGGTATTAAATAGTCGGGACACCAACCCGACTATAGCGTTCTCTCTTGTTTCTTAAATCGGACCATTCATTAAAAAGTTATGCGCAATCAAAATGTAACATATCCATCTCCTTCGCACTCCCTTTAGCTGAGTGACGGGTATTAGATAGTCGGGACACCAACCCGACTATAGCGTTCTCGTTCTTTCTATAACTTCTCGGAAAGCTTTAAGGGGAGTGGTGGGGGGGTGGGTATGGTTAATTCGGCCAAAAAAAGGCCTATTTTCATGAAATACGGTTAATGTTAGATAAATTATTTTATTATTATATCAAAGTACAATACTTAAACTATATTTTCTGAAAATTTCATTGAAAAAAATTAAAAAATGAGCCGTCTGCGGCCAATCTTCGTTGGCGCCTCCAAGAAAAAAAGGTTTTGCGGTGAACAGCATAACTCATTACTGGATCATCAGAAAAATATAAAAAAAAATGTCCATTAGTTAAGATGTTTCTTAAGGGAATCCGGTCGAGTTTTTTTTTTTTAATTTTTGGATTTTGAATAACACTTTGAAGCAGGGACCGTAAATAATCATTATTTGAGATTTTTATTTTAAAAAGACTACTGTGATATTATGTTTTAAACGTCAAAAATAACGTTCTTTTTACTCTCGTCCACAAAGTATATGCATGTCAACAAATTTGGAAAGCAATTGAACTGTTATTTGTTCATGTCTATAAAGTGCATAAAAACCAATTAAATTGTTGATTAAAACTTGTTCAAATCTCAGTAGGCCTTCTAAAATAAAAATCTCAAATAATGATTATTTACGGTCCCTGCTTTGAAGTCAAAAACGAGATTTTAGCCAAAAAAATTGGATATAATAGTTAATATAAAAAAAATAAATAAATAAATAAAAAAAGCTCGACCTGATTACCTGCGGATTTGGGTAGAGAAATTATGTGCAAAATTTCAGAACGATCGGTACATTAGATTTCGATGGACAATGTTCACCGACTTAAAAAAACATACTTTTCAGGAGAACGATTTAAAGTTTTGAATAGGTATATACGTAGGGGACGGCTGGGACCGCCCCTCGTTCAAATGGTCATATTTTTTGTAATTTTCATCCGATTGACATGAAATTTTAACACAACATTCTTAACGTGTTGTACATTAATAAAAAAAAAAATTTTAAACAAATCGAAAAAAAAAATAAATACCATACCCCTCCCTTAAAGGTGTGGGCGCCACACATTTTAAAATTATTATTATTATTATTATTTTTTTATAGTTAACTATTAACTTAATTGTATATACTTTTAGGAAGATCTTTGCCACATAGACCCAAGTAAACTTTTATTGGAGAGTATTGGACGTGGCTTCTTCTACAATTATTCTTGTGAAGGATACAATTCGGCTGGCTGGGGTCCACGCAGTGAAGACAAAGAACTATTGGTTGGTTTAAATTGCTTTCAGTTAAATCATTGTATTTTACATTTTCATTTTTAATGTAAATGCTTAATAGGTACATTACGAACCGGGACCTTCTGCACTAACTCATTTTCCATTAGTCGCCGTGAAAAAAAAGAGCGTGACTTTCTCGTGCTCTGTAGATGATCCCGGATATCCAGACTCCAATAGGTTTGTAACAAAGCCGGTCAACCATAATTACAAAAAGATAAAAACCCAACACGCACCACTAATTGAATTCCATACCGTCGAAGCATTGCAACCGCAGGAAGCCGACATTGCTTTCGAAGCGCTGCTGCTAAATAAAATTCAAAAATCACTCCCCTCCACTGCATCGCCACAAATATCACCAAGAAATCTAGAAGCCAGCGCATCTCTCCTAGCTCACGAAATTAAAGAAACTCATGCTCTTATTGATTTACATTTAAACCATTCCCATTGTACATTACTCACGCTCACTACCTACACGCCACAATCGCAATTCTTAACTCTTTACACGGGGATAAAACAAAAAAACGATTCGATCGTTTCCCCATCGTCCTATGCCCTTTACCGAAAAATGGGCAAATTTTCGTTTGATGCTCAAATAGTTTCGAAACCCAACAGATATCGTTGGCTACGCGGCGGTCGGGGTCCTCTGCAGGACATTGTGACGAAGGACTGGACGGTGGAGCCGGTTGGTCTAGATAGTCGGACCAATTATTCTTGCTACGCGTACAATGAGGGGGGCAAAGGAATTATGGCTACAGTAAACTTGGAGGTACACGCGCCACCATTTTTCATAAAGAACTTACCACCTTACACAGGAGTACTGCACTCCTCGCAAAATGCAACTTTGACTTGTCGCATTGAGTGTGTTCCGCGCTGTGACATATCGTGGCAAAAGGATGGTGAGCCAATAGAGAGGAACGATACTCGTTATTTTATTAAGGAAAAGTACATGGAAGCATCCCCCGCCACGGGTGATTTTGAAAGCATGCTCTCAGTTTTGGTAAGTACAATATTCTTTTACGTGTATTTGAAATGAACAATCTTAAAGTCAGCTGAATTATAGATTTTCCTGACAAATAATGGTGCAATTTCAAAAAATGTAGATAAATTGTCCTGACTACACACCTTGACATTTTCGGAGGATGTCGAATCAAATAAAAACACCTCTTAACGAGGTAAAAAGCTAGGGACGATCGCATTAGAGCCCTGCGTGAATCATTCAATTTTTGTTTTATCATATTCTAATTTTTTAATTCAATTCTATGAAATAAATTGAATGTTTCTCTAATTCATTTCGAATTGAATGAATGAATGAATAATTTTTATAAATGTTGTGAAGTGGAAAATTTTTAACAAATCAATGTTAACTGCAAAGTAAATAAAATTCAGGCAGATTTAACCACAAAATTATGACCCTTTCTTCTTCAAAAGAAATTGTCGTTTGAATTATTTCGGAATTCATGCCATTCATTCATTCAATTCTATTAAACTCAAAATTCAAATTCATTCAATTCTATTAAACTCAAAATTCTAATTAATTCATTCATATAAAACAAAAAATTCAAAATAATTCAGAAAAAAATACAAAAACGTCTATGGTATCTCGATGATGTTGAATCAGAATAACAGAATATACATTTAACTATTAAATAAAAGTATTTTTTTAAAAATGGCTAAGGAATATCCTAACATTTTAAAATAATTACGATCAACCCATAATCCCAATTTGATAGCTTAGACTTGAACTGTTCGCGAGATATATGGCAAGACTTTTATTTACGGAGTGTCAGAATAAAAGTCTTTGGGAGACTTTTGATTTTGATTTTTATTAAAAAAATCTAATTAAGGGCTAGTACTTCACCCAACAAAAAGTCGTCCAAAACAAAAAAATCATATGAAACAAAATTTTTTGACGTTTTTATACCCTTGTAGAGGGTATTATAATTTCAGTCAGATGTTTGCAACGCAGTGAAAAAGACGTTTCCGACCACATAAAGTATATATATTCTTGATCAGCACCAATAGCCGAGTGTACCTAGCCATGTCCGTCTGTCCATCTGTCCGTCCGTCCGTTTTTATGCGAACTAGTCTCTCAGTTTTAAAGCTATCGCGATGAAACTTTCCCGAAAGTCTTCTTTCTATTGCAGGTAGTACATATGTCGGAGCGAACCGGATCGGACAACTATATCTTAAGGCTCCCATAGGAATATTCAAACAAATATAAGAAAATTCATTGTAACTTTGTAGGAAGTAGGCGTTTTGATTCTTAACTACTTAAAAACAAAATTTAAATAAATAGAAAAGCTGAATCTGGAATCTCTGGAACTGCACCGAGTGAGCATTACTTTATCTGCAAGGGTATATAAGCTTCGGCTGGCCGAAGGTAGCTTCTTTTCTTGTTTTAAGTTAAAGTGAGTCAAAGTTACAAGTTAAACTCCAACTCTAACTCTTTCAAGAGACAATTCCCAAGAATTGTTTGTGGAAGTTATTGCCCGCAAATACAAGAGGAGACGGTTATTATAGATTAGGTTGTATATTTTCGTTGATTCCTCGTTGACTACAGATTTATCGACTATTGGCGTTACAATTTCTCGTCTGTCCTATGCTTTCGCGACGCAAGCTAAAAGCCGATTGCCTGATGTGTATTAGAATTTAACATACATGTAGTATAAGAGAAACCTAACATAACAATTGAAGATCTAATATAATCGAACTTAGTTACTCTTCTCCTCAAACACAGGGCTCTAAATAAATACGACACAAATGATGGTTTTAATTTTTAAACAAGAGAGTACGCTATAGTCGAGTTACTTAAAAATGAGATACCCGTTACTTAGCTAAGAGAAGTGCAAGAGAGATGGAGATATGGGCGCAGCAAAACGACTGCTTGCACTGGTTAAATTTTATCGCTTTTTAAAAAATCTAAATTTTTAAGTTAAATATCTTGAAGACAAACGGTCTGGCTGTTTGGTTTCCCTAATTTGTGTGCTTAATAAGTAATAATACATTTTAAATTTTAAGAATTTTTAACGTTCTTCCAAAGTCAAAATTGGGTACTTTTGTTAAAACTATACTTTTTGCTTAAGAAAACTAAAAAACTAATCGACAAGTTTGAAAACGATCGGTTAGGCCGTTTAGAAATGCCGATGAACACGGACTTTCAGAACGTGAATTCGAAAAAAACGCAATTTATCTGCAATGCTTTAGAATAAATTATTTTTGAAACGTAACTTTCAAAGCTCGAATTTTTTAAAGTATTAGTCCGATCGAATTGAAATTTTTTCAGTGCATTCTAGACATAAAGCAGTGAAGAATATGTGAGTGAAGAATATTTGGCAGAGAGTGCCAAGCCCATTCTAGCGCCTACAGAAATTTTAGCAATTCAACAGCCTCGGGGCTGTTGAAAATACTGTTGAATCATTGAAAACCAAAGTTGTCACCTTTTTTTTATTAAAAGTCACCAGTAAACATTATTTATTTCAGAATCAACTTAGAAAGCATATTTGTGGATCTTTTTACCTTGGTAACAATTTTAGACAGTAACTAGCAATAATAAATCAAATTTTACATGTTTTAAGTTCCGTGAAACTTTGAAAGCTGTTTGAAAAGTCATTAGGAAGCATTTTGGGTAGTTCCCTTAATTGCTGAAATTTTCTGTTGAATTTTCAACAATTCAAAAAGGCAACGAAACGAAAATTTCTTGATCAAAAATTTGTATGGAGATTTTCATTTCGTGGGCTTTTCGATTGAAGTACGACGAAAACTGCTAGCTAATCATAGGAGTAAGCGAGAGGCAAATAGGTAGCTAAAGTCTTTAGCCGGGGACTTTTTTCACCGCGGTACTCAGATAAGCTAACGAAATGGTATGGAAATACCCAAATATACCAGATTTAGCGGATGAATTCCGATGAACGCCTTTAGCCGCGGCTCAAAGAATAAAAAATCTGATCTTTGGCTGTGTTTGTGCAGAAGCGGTTTGCCAATAACAATTTATAAATGGAAGGAAAACCACAAAAACCAATGGAAAACTGCCTGTAGGACTTGCTGCAAAACATATCGCCATTCCAACAGCAAATTTTAAAGCTTGCGACCCAGGTCGGCTTAACGTTTTGTAAAGCCTAGTACTCAGTACGACGAAAACTGCTAGCTAAGCATAGGAGTAAGCGAGAGGCAAATAGGTAGCTAAAGCCTTTAGCCGGGGACTTTTTTCACCGCGGTACTCAGTTGAGCTAAGGAAATGGTATGGAAATACCAAAAAAATACTAGATTTAGCGGATGAATTCCGATGAACGCCTTTAGCCGCGGCCCAAAGAATAAAAAATTTGATCTTTGAGCCTAGTACTCAGTTCGGCTAAGAGTTTTACTAGTCGAAAAATATTAATCTTTTAGTGTGACCGAAGTTTTCGGAGTTCATCCGCAATGCATGTAGCACGGTCTTACTCTTAGCAAACAAATTAACTGGCGCCAATTTTAAAATATTACAAAACGTTGAGCCGACCTGGGTCGCAAGCTTTAAATTCGCTATTGGAATGGCGATATGTATTGCAGCAACTCCTACAGGCAGTTTTCCATTGGTTTTTGTGGTTTTCCTTCCATTTATATGTTATTGGCACACCGATTCTGCACAAACACAGCCTAAGATTAAATTTTTTATTCTTTGGGCCGCGGCTAAAGGCGTTCATCGGAATTCATCCGCTAAATCTAGTTTTTTTTCGGTATTTCCTTACTGTTTCCTTAGCTCAACTGAGTACCGAGGTGGAAAAAAGTCCCCGGCTAAAGGCGTTAGCTACCTATTTGCCTCTCGCTTACTCCTATGCTTAGCTAGCAGTTTTCGTCGTACTGAGTACTAGGCTTTGGCTGTGTTTGTGCAGAAGCGGTTTGCCAATAACAATGTATAAATGGAAGGAAAACCACAAAAACCATTGGAAAACTGCCTGTAGGAGTTTCTGCAATACATATCGCCATTCCAACAGGGAATTTAAAGCTTGCGACCCAGGTCGGCTCAACGTTTTGTAATATTTTAAAATTGGCGCCAGTTGATTTGTTTGCTGAGAGTAAGACCATGCTACATGCATTGCGGATAAACTCCGAAAACTTCGGTCACACTTAAAGATTAATATTTTTCGACTAGTGAAACTCTTAGCTGAACTGAGTACTAGGCTTAATATTTTAAAATTGGCGCCAGTTGATTTGTTTGCTGAGAGTAAGACCATACTACATGCATTGCGGATGAACTCCGAAAACTTCGGTCACACTAAATGATTAATATTTTTCGACTAGTGAAACTCTTAGCCGAACTGAGTACTAGGCTTAAGGGAATTCCCTCTTTGTTGTTTATTGTAGGTATATTGGTAGGGATGGAACTTTAACGATAGGAAATGAAATACAAAAAAATACTCCCAAATACCAAAGACCCTAAAAGCACCTCACAACCTATGTAAAAACAAACCCTAGTGTAAATAGGCTATAATACCTATCGAATTGTAAAATTAGTGATTACAAATCAAAGTTGTATATCTCCATCTCATAGTCTAGTCTCCTATCGAGTGAGCCAGTAACCCGATTACTACAAAAAAGTGTTTCCACTGGGTTAACTCCAAATATCGAGTATTGACATCTAGTATTTGTTGTTTGTGTTGTTTTTTTTTACTAGGGATGGACCTTCAACGATAGGAATTAATACAAAATATACCGAAAAATACAAAAAATACTCCGAAATACCAAAGACCCTAAAAGTACCTCACTTTTACCCACATACATAGCCTATGTAAAAAACAGGTTATGTCAATAACCCCATAACTCCAGAACTCCACCCTAGTGTGAATAGGCTATCAATCACACTTCCTTTATCTGAGTAACAAAAATTTTAAAAGTTCTATGTAAAAAATCGTATGTAGACTTTTGCCAGTGCCATTTTTAGGTTTTTTGTTTATAAGTTTTTAAATTTTTGTTGTATAAGAATGAAATTTTGGTTTTTGAGTAATAATAACATTTAAACCAAGATGGCATCATTACTTTTTCTGTAAAAGCAAAAGCAGTGGGAAAACTCCCAAAAAGGGGGTCGTATGTATACTTTTGTCCGCCACTGTAGCTGTACAACATTTTTTTGTATTAATAGCACATACTGTGATTTCAGCACTTTAATATGTCAAATTGGCCTCTTGGCAAATTTGATATCGAGGCTGATAATGCGAACTACGAATGCGTCTCAACAGGCAATACAGTAGGCGCTAGCATCAGGAGTCGCACCTATTTTGGCATTGAATGTAAGTGCAAATAATTACGCTTAGCTATATAACATTTAAAATTTTTGCAATAGACGCTCCTGACAATACAACGGTTTCGGAGAACATTCTTTATGTCCAAGAAGATACCATACCAGGACGTATACTATGTAAATCCCGTGCTAACCCCGGTAAGTATTTTCTGAGTTAACTCTGTATATTCATTTATCATAAACTACATTTGCAGAGCCGTTATATAAGTGGTTCTTTAAAAACGAAACAATAGCCAATGGAAATGCATTAATCATAAATACTGCAATGAAAAGAAACGATAATGGAACTTATACCTGTCAGGCTTACAACAAGCATGGCAAAAGCATTGCTGAGACCGTAATCGAAGTGCAATGTAAGTATGAGGGCACTAAATAAAAATATTTGTATCTTTTATAAATTTCTTTTTTTAAAGTTAAACCACGGTGCGAAATCGAGAGACGGGAAATTGATGATCAGGACACGCTTATTTGTACTGCTTACGGAAATCCTTTAGAGGTAAGTTTAGTTAGCCGTCATAAAGTAAGAATACGCAAAGACACCATTTGCAATGTTGCTCTCTTTAGTTAATTCTCGTTTTCACTTCCGAAAAAGCCTCACAATACCCTTATTTCCTTTCATATCCTTTACTAGCAAAATAAAGGTATATGGGCATTTCCAGAAAAAAGTCAACCAAACACAACCAAAAACAACGTAGCATCACCCAGAATAAAAAGAACGAAAAAAATCAAGAACATTTTTCTTGATTTTAGAAGCCGCGGGGTGAAATCATGATCATTGCATTTTTTTATGAACTTTTAGTTCTCAAATTAACTCCAAAATGTTGTAAAAGTGACCCCATTCGTTCGCAAAACATGCCAAATATGAACTGACAACAAACGGGCTTACGCACTTTTTGACCCCGTTTCGGCTTGATTTTGAAACGTTTCGAACGGATTTTTTTCTGGGTGATTTTCTAGGATTTTTAAATGTTTTGTCACAAAACTTTTGTGACATTTTACTATATAACAAGAAAGGAAGCTAGCTTCGGCCAGCCGAAGCTTATATACCCTTGCAGATCATTCTATTAATTTACAAATCGAAAAATGTTAAATTTCTTATCATTTCACATTAATTTTTCGATCGTTTCTATCACAACTATATGATATAGTAGTTCGATCTTTTAAAAATTAAAATCGAAATTCGGAAATATTTCAAAATAGTCATATCCCAGAGTAGAAGGAAATGTAATAAAAACCAACAAAGATATAATTTTTTCCCCATTAATTTCCATTTAATTTTTCGACCGTTCCTATGGCAGCTATATGATATAGTGATCCGATTTAAAAAACAAAAAAACCGAAATTCAGAAACATATAAAAATAAATATTCCCAAGAGTATAAGGTAAAATTTCAAAAAACACCGGAGCTAGAATTTTTTACGTTTTTTTTTTTTGATCCTTCCTATGGGAGCTATAAGATATAGTTTTCCGATCCGGTTGGTTCCGACATATATACTACCTGCAATAGAAATACGACTTTTACGAAAGTTTCATCCCGATAGCGTTAAAACTGAGAGACTAGTTTGCGTAGAAACGGACGGACAGACGGACGGACAGACGGACAGACGGACATGGCTAGATCGACTCGTCTTGTGATGCTGATCAAGAATATATATACTTTATGGGGTCGGAAATGTCTCCTTCACTGCGTTGCAAACTTCTGACTGAAATCATAATACCCTCTGCAAGGGTATAAAAAATATGGGCTTTCCGTTTGTTGTCAAAATAATAAAATTCGACGAAAATGTGAAATTGTTTTTATAGCAGGCCAGACCCCACAACAGCGAATTAAATATCCTCGGTGGGCAGTGATTCCTTAAGAACTGGAGTGACCATGGATGACCAAGACATACATAATAGTGTTGGGTAAACACTGTTCACCTTAGTGAACAAGATCAGTTGCTCACTTTTAAGTGAATGAATCAACTCACTAACTTGGCTCACTCACTTGTTCAGTGAGTAACTCACTTGTTCAGTGAGTAACTCACTTGTTCAGTGAGTAACTCACTTGTTCAGTGAGTAACTCACTTGTTCAGTGAGTAACTCAGTTGTTCAGTGAGTTACTCACTTATTCAGTTGCTGACATGTTCAGTTACTCACTTGTTCAAATTTGAAAATTGTAAATTCTTCAGTTGCTTACTAATTTTTTACTTTTTTAAATAAATACAGTTAGTTAGTCAAAATTTAGGTTAGTGTCACTAAAAAAAAATTCAGGTGAACTTTTTGAAATCATATTTTATTTCGAAAACAAGGCACTTCTTCTTTCATATGAAGGCACTAAAACTTAACAAAAAAAGTAATGTTTTCATAAGTAGTTTCCATTACTGTTTGTTGATTAATTGCTTTGCGTTTCACACTAGTCAGCAAATGATGTTAAACCTGAAACCATATTTTTTTAGATTGACTAAAAGAAACAACAATTAAAAAATCTTACCGTTACATGTTATTGTGAAGGAACATTAGACTTTCCACTTTGTTTGTATTTAAAAGAGATCGTCGTTTTGTAAAAATTTCGCGTGCTGCTGAAAAAAGCCTTTCACAAGGAACAGATGTTGCTAGCAAACACAATCTTTGTAGTGCTAAGCAATATAATCGAGAATAAACATCTTTCTTTGACTCCCACCAGATCAAGGGATCCTCTTTTCTGTTCAGGCATTCCTCTTCAAGATATTTTGTCACTTTTTTAATGGCGGCTTCCTTGTTGTTCGGTATTTTTTCTTTAAAAAAGTTGTAATACTCCTCCCAAAGGTCATTTGAACCTGTTTTCTTCTCCATAAGATTCTCATTTTTTTCTGATTCGACATTTGCATTGAAACTTTTGCCTTTATTGACTCTACAGCTGATTCAAAACACTGTCTTGATTGAAAAAACCGTCCTTTAAAGCGAGGATTCAGAATTGTACTTTCCGCATAAAGTTCATTTTCTTCCAAGTCCTTAAATCTATTGGCCATTTCGCTTGGAATTCCTCGACAACCGATGCAACGAAAGAGTTTTCGGAAGATATGTTTCTCATGTTAATACGTAAAAGGTTGCTAAGAATTATGACCCTTGAAAGAGTTACATTTCTTTCGGAAGATATTTCTATGGTTATTTGATAAAATGGTTTGAGCACCGGTAATACTTCTTCAATAATTTGCCAGTCCTCGTGGGCTAGGACCAAATCTGGTCGAAGTACTGACACTGCAACAATAACGGCCTCTTTTAATAATACGAAACGCTCGAACATTTTATACGTGGAGTTCCATCTAGTTGGTACATCCTGCACCAACTTCAAGTCCGTCATATTCAGTTGCTTTTGGGTATCCTTTAATTTATTTATGCCAACTGTGCTGCGATTGAAATATTCAACGATAGCTTTCACTTTCTTGCGCGTTAGTGAGATCTTTTTCAGTCCATTCTGCACAATTAAATTGAGTGTATGCGCGAAACAGGGCAAATGAGGCCAGTTTCCAAGCTTAACTGCGCCCACGATATTAGCAGCATTATCGGACGTAATTGCGGCAATTTTGCCTTGCACACACCAATCAGTTGCTATTTTGTTTGGGTAAGAGCAAAGATTTATGCTTGTATGCCTCTCATTAAAAGATTCACAAGCCAACATATGCGAATGTAATTTGGTGGATTCCTTGGTGATGTAATGAGCTATTACCGCCTTATAGCTTTGATTGGTCAAGGAAGTCCATCCATCGGTTGTCAAACATACGGCAGAGGCAGCTAACTCAGCATGTGCATTTGTCATTAGTACGTTGGACAGAGTCTTTCTAGTCGGCATCTTGTATCCAGGGCAATGGGACACATCCTCGACAAATTTCTTGAATTCGGGCTCCTCCACTATTCTTAGGGCATGATTTCCTTTCGCCACCATTCGAACTAACTGTCGATCGAGCTGCTCACATTTACGAGCCGGTAGGGGTCGTTGGATGAAATCCATGATTTTAGTCTGCGATTCAGCTGCAAAACCACCTGAGTCACTTGAAGTGAGCGTACTTTGGCGTTCGACGGGAGCACTGTAGCTAGGATGTTTTGCCTTTAAGTGTCGGCCAAGATTGCTCATAGATCCAGACGACAGCGTGGCTTTGCATATTGTGCACTTTACTTTTTGCTCTCTGACATCCTCAAAATGATCCCAAAGGGCACTTATTTTCCTTTTCAGCGACATATTTTTGCAAACGTTGGGAAGCTACAATTTCGAGTTGCCACACAATAATAAGTAAGCAAGGTTGCCACTATTGAAGTAAACCAGTGAAAAAACAAAATTAGAGAGCGAAGCAGAAGAACCATTGAACCACTGTTCCCTGCAGTGGGAAAAAGAACTAGTAAAAAAAAATTATGATCGTGCTACGAACTTGTGGACTTATAAATGAGAATAGAACTGAACTGAACGGAGTTAGTGAGCAAGTAAACAGCTGAACAAGTGTGAGCGAGTCAGCAACCCAGTGCACTATGGGAAAAAAGTCTATTTTTTTGGCATAAAATCTAGTTTTAGAGATACAATTTAGAAATTTTTTATATATACTATCACTATGGACGGCAGTCCATGTAGTGACGAAGCGCACCAGGAGAGTGTGCGAAGGCGACTACTATTATATAGCCGCAAAATTGAAAATCTGCTGTGATAGTCCGATCGTAATGAGTAATACACCAATCGAAAGGTATTGCAAAAACTTAAAGGATGCATACCAAGACTTTAAGAAAATCAATTGGCTTGGGAGAGAGAGCGGTGAAAGTGAAAAAGTGAAAATTTCGAAATTTGGAGTTGTTGGGGCCGGTGGGGATAAATGCCCCCTCGCAATGTTTTAGTTGTATTCCTTTTGAAAATACCCGTCGAATGAGGGGTCATTTGTCAAAATCCGACGCTCCGTTCAAAAGTTATAGCCAAAATAAGATTTTCTTCTTCTTCCCAAAATGAAAATTTAATTCTGTTTGTCCACTTGTCCAAAATATGTTTTTTAAGTTCTGAAAATTTGATATGACGTTTATCACATCGATATAAAAAACTTTTGTTCTACCACTTTTGGAAAAACTCGCTAGTTTAGCGGGAAAACAGCTATAAATAGCTAAAATTCGGAAAACCGTAACTTCTATACTACTAAAGCTACAGACTTGTGCTGCATCTTGTTTGAAAGGTATTTTTAAATGCTATAAACTCCTTCTATATGCAATTTGTGTAAATGTAATAATTAAAAAGATATGAACAAAAGACAATTTTTTAAAACTTTTTTTTTAGCTTTTTTTTATTTTTCTCAAAAACGGCTCTAACGATTTCCTTGAAACCTTTAAACTGTATAGCCCTTGAGATTCCTTAAATTTTGGTATATAACACATTACTGTAAAAAGTCACGTTTAAAAGTTATTTTTATACGAAAATAGCCACTTTTGGCAGCTCGAACAACTAAAGCTTCCTGAGTATTGAATTTTGTGTGAGGGTATCCGAACTGTATTTTAGGGTCATGGAAT